GTTGGTTTAATAAGGCTGCGTGACCAATATTCGCGGACAAAGGATTTGCTACAAACCTGTTGGTGTTAACGTCTACACCGTAATCTAGTGTGTGACGTGGAAAGAATCTCCTTAAATATAAGACTTGGTTTTAAACAGAAACATCAAAAGTGCCATCAACGGCATCGGTAAATGCTCGAGAATGAAGCAAGCTTTGGTTTTCTTACATCACACCCTACTTTAAACGGCCGGATTTAATCTGAACGACGCAGGTTTTTCGGTCTCAGTATGTTACGAAGTGGTCAGCCTACCCATCACCATGGTGATGTTGCTTTCCGCTGGCCAGTGGGCGCGTTCGAAACGCGTACAGTGGTAAATTACGAATTACATGAGTGAATCACGGGTGGAACCAAAATTGAACGGAACCCAGATGTACTATTTAACCTTTATATATAACGGATAAATCTTGCCCCGCACTCCGCGGGCTTGACTGTGAAATCCTTCTCGTTGTACAGCTAATCCGGTTGTGAAAAGTGGTAAGTAAATGGAAAGATGCTACCCTGTTTACCAGAGACCAGTGGATGTCAGGTACTACCTAAGTGTATTGTTCTCCCCTGTACCCATATGTTTCACAAATGATCTTCATCTCGATGGATGAAACAAGTGCTCACATGGCATACATGAATGAAATTTTGTTTGCATCCACTCTCGTAACTACGAGGAAGCCTGATTGAGGAACGCAAATTCGGAATTGGGATGCATTGGGACCACTTGCCCCCTATTCGCAGAATGTCAGTTTCTGCTGGTCTCGCGAATACCGAAAATGGAATATAACGCAAATGAACAGCAGTTGGCGTTCCGCTCGAAATAGTAGACGATAATGAGAGATGAGACAGGCGTACTGAGGCGCTTTCTAATAGACCGCCACACCAGCGCGTATAAACATTTGGCTGAAGTCGAAACTGAATTTCGGAAATGCCAGATTAGCAGACGTTGAAAGCTGTATTCTGTATATTGCACAGTCTTTTGTCACTGTTATCATTGGCTCATGCTGGCACGTAGCAAAATTTGCAGCCAGGCAAATATGCACACGAGACAACAGCTAAATCCTGTGTAAAATTCACTTGAAGTGTTGCATGCAGTATTGTATGCGGGTAGCAGTACATAGTTGATACAAAAATGGGATCAAGCACCGGAAGTCACTAAAAGGAGTAGGATAAATTATGTAACAAACAGGCATCGGTTATAGAAGGCGAGGTATATCAAAGCTAGTGAACCGACGGTGTATCACAATGCGCAACCCGATTTTATCCGATGGAAAACCGTTGGAGCAATCAATTTGGCCAAGCTTCAAATCTCAACAAATCTAGACCCAATGGCTGACCTTTGAACGTATTGGATGGTCAGTGTTATCGGCAACGGAATGGTGAACATATTTTATCAACATCTTTGGAAACAAGAGACAGAATCAGCAGGACGACAGTCATGACATATTGCTCAAATATCTTGAGACCTTTGGAGTACTACTACTTTTTGGGGATCAAAGCCGGCTGACGTTCTCAAGTCACCCTGTGTATCGGAAAATTTAGGCCACCAAATGCGGGATTACTGGTGTATATCAGAAGGAGCCTTGCAGAGACTTGTATGAATAGACTTGTCTGAATAGTCCATCTGTAGGGCAAGTCAACTATTGTGACAAGGATAGCCTGAAAAAGTGCCTTTATAAGCCTGTGGCTGATCACGTTCCTTGGGCAGAAATTACATTAAAACGTTGGTATAACAGGTGGCACTACATGTGAACACTGAACAACTTAAGTCGTCAAATTTCTAGGCACTTGAATTGTCAAAACAAAGTGGCGCATAGTAAACCCAGATGAAACTGACCAGGTTAGGTAAGCACGCAACGGTGGTGAATGACAATCCCTACTTGTTGAACATATACGAACCAAATCTTGCCAGTGTAAAGTTTAGAAGTCAGTACTCTATGTCAGTTCAACATCTGTCACATAGAAATTGCAGAGCAGGACTCAACCGGGTTCAAGGTTCAGATGGATGTCAATTGAAAGAACCCCACTGAACATTATGTACCCGTAAGGATTTGCTCAGATTAAAGGGTGTCCATTAAAAATGATACTTCTTGGAGTATGTAAGCCATTTCGAAGATGATCAGTAGTTTCCACTACAACTGGAATCATATTTCGCTTAAAAGCTATATTGTACTGGTCAAATGGTGCATATGTCCGTAGCATGGTGGCACTTTCAGGTTCTAACCGACGGAGCAGCAGGCCGTGGAAAATGGTCCTGCTTGATACCATATGAGGATCTTCGGTTTACAGACAAACGTGTAAGGTTATTATCTTTTCGAAAATGCCCATTTAAAACAAAATGGTATCATGGGAATGCATTCAACAAGGTTTCCTTTCAAGCTACATAGAAGCAAACATGAATAGCAGTGCTTAACACAATTGAACTGAGCATGGCGCATATAAGAGAAGAAGTCAGGCAAACCCAGAACGCTTGAAACATGGTAAGCACCTTTGAGTTTGTCAATTTTTTTCCATATTTTGACGGTGAAACTCAACGCATTCCGAAACGCGTCACCAGATTAGTACACGTGTTATGGTTAAAATGGGGGTAAAAGTCAAGTACACCGCGATGATTGGTTGGCGAAATTGCAAATAGTTGAGACACCAAATACGGAGTTTGAGTGACTTGGTTGGTTGATTTGCATCACATGACCAAAGCAGATTCAGCAATCGTACAAATCGTTTTGGCAGCACAGTAATGGCTTTGCATGCGTACAGCGACTGCCTCGGCTGCTGTCAAGCAGCGTGGTTGGATTGGTTCTGATGAGTATATGTTAAAATACAGGAAACTACTCGTTTGAATCGATCACGTTTCCGGTGTCACCTAAGTGGAATGCCATTGAGCCTTGTGCTGGACCGTTTAGTTTGATGGTGATGAGGTGAGTTGGATGCTCACGTTCACAGGTTGACATCACCAGCACAGGAATACACGACCATATTCTGGGTCAGGATTTTCTCCTGTCATTTAGGTTTATGTTGTGCAATTGTTCGCAATATAAACTTAAAACGCAGAGTTCCACCCAGAAGGTTGCGTTGTAAGAATTGGACCAAGGAGCGATTGGCTTTATCTGCGAGCACGTCATCCTCACAGGTAGGATCAATCAGATTGACTTTTATGCAACGGTGAAACGCCTCAGTTACTTGAAAGGTCACTTGTTGAAGGATGCTAGCCACCTTAGACATTACACCGATACCTTAACTACTTACGAAGGGAAAGGGTAAGTTATTCGGACGCTATTTGCTTCGACAGGAGGCTTACGCTTTATCCGGCATCATCCAGTTTTCCAACATCGAAAACCTTGGAAGTTCCGCATAATTTTCGACTGCCCTGCGAAAAGTCAGGGTGTTTCCCTCAACGACTGCTTATTTTCCGGACCTGACCTGACAAATGAACTTGTAGTAATCACACTGAACTGCATGATTTTGTCTGATCCCAGGAAGTCAAATTAACCTAACCACGCAAGGCCTCAAAAACCTCTGTTGACACCAAATCTACCTCGGATTCTCGCACACTTGAAGATGGTATGGGATGAATTTTCATATTCCGTGGAACAGATGAAAAATAAAGCGGTGACGACGGTATTCGCCAAGAGTAACACGAAGAATTTACTACCCGGTGAGGAAGCACTGTCTGTTGATGAAAAGGCTGTACGGTTTCTAATTGATGAGTCATCTGATGACGTCGGTCTTCTAGCGCCAGAGTCTAGCGAAGCATCCCTTATAATGGGCATCCCCAAATTTGTAGCCATGGAAATGTCGCTTTCAAAGTCTTCCCGAAGTCGCCAACCAGATTTATACAATCTTTCGGACAAGGGGCGTCACAATCAATACTTGAACACCGTCTTCCTGGCGTTCTCCTCAAAGTCAAATTCAGCTATTGAATCTACTGCTTTACAAGCTGAATATAACGGCAAAGAGCCAAAGTATGATGAGCAAGTACCTTACAAGGCCGAGGATGCCGTAAAGGAAGAAGAATCGGCCAGTGAAGATAATGAAGATGGAGATGAGGTAGATAAGTGTATTGGGTCAGAAGAGAGAATAGAGGACGCCTGCGGTGAGGAGCTACTGGTAGGAGATTGGCGAGAAAAGATAATTCCACCATTGCATGCAGTGAATTGAGTTGGTATAATAGGGAAAGCCATACTGGTTTTGTATCTATAGTACCGCATTTATAGATAAACCTGCATCTGAACGATTTGGCGCTTGGGGTTGTACTCGCAACTCGACATGGTCCGACAGATTTCTGGAGACTATGTAACTGGCACATATGCAGAAAACCGGCTTGCCTTGAGTTAAAGGATGCTGGATTTAAAGGAAGTGATAAA